ATCAGTATTCCAGTCCAATGTCTGAGTAATGCAACCTTTATCTGATGAAGATAAGAAGTGGCAGTTGCAATTACAAAACTTTGCCACAGAATAAATACAATTAAGTTATAGATTACAGTTACAGATATTAATGTGCAGCTCATGCAGGGAATTCAGATCCTGAAAAAAAAAAAATCTCTGAAGGGAAAATTTAAGCAGCCTTAAATTGACAAAGCATTTAAACTGGCTCCAGATTTCCCAGCCACATTAAAGTGAGCCCAGTCAGAAGGAGGAGTTTAGTGGAGAACATAAAGGGTTCTGCTCTAACTCGCTCTGTCCATTGGCTCCAAGACCTTCATGACCTTGGCCAAACCCTGTCACTCCCTAAGTTTTTCTGATTTCACAAAGACTAATGATTTTTGCCTGCTTCCTCAAAGCCTGGGTAAAGAGCATTGAATAAGTGCTCAGGAGAATTAAGGAACAAATAAATTCAGTAATCCCCATTTATTGTGAAAACCAAGATCAGCTTTATCCATTGGCTAATATATCTCTCTATATATGTATATATATGTATGTGTATATATATGTAATTTTTCATAATGTAAAGTACTTTAATAAAAGTGAGTTCTAAAGTCAGTAGGATCCACTGGATTATATTTTTAATATTATCAAGCTGAGTAATGTGATCACTAGTGACATTATGAAGTTTCTAAGAGCTAAGCCAAAGTCCTTAGGTAGAGACGAGGAAGGCTTCTAATTAATAAAAATCAGATGGAGTAAGACAGGAATGACTGGAGACAGCCAGTCACTGACTTAAAAAAAAAAAAAAAAAGGACAAAAATCCAATGGCTGAAAGCCAAGTATTTTCTTTCAAAGAGAGTGATTAAAAACATATTTTTGTGCATCTTTGTTTAAGCTGAAGGTAAACACAAAATGTGCTAAACTGCAAGCCCCGTGTGCTGGGTGCACTCCCTCACCCCACCACGGCGTTTGCAACCTGTCCCTACTGCTGAGTCAGCAAGGTGTAAGATGTTCCTGTGCTGAGCTAGAATGAAGGAATTCTCCCTTCTCTGAGGTGTCAACAAAAAGTTTGTTCCTGCAGATTTCTGTTTTGGCATGTTTAGCTAGGGACTGATGTCAAATGCTAAGTGTTTAGCCCACAGCTCTATGTACAGTCAGACTTCCAGTCCTGCTCTGGAGGGTCCAGGCCTGAACAAACAAACCAGCCCAGGAGTCAGAACCCAAAACTCCAGCTGCAAGGCACTGGTGTGGGCTGGCTCATCCTGCCTCTGACCCAGCTGGAGAGCTCAGCAGTCAAGGATATCCGAGGGAGTTTAGTGCCAATTGACACTGGGGGAGGGCACCAACAAGGGGGCCACCAAACCCTGTTTGCTGAGCTCATTTAGCAAATCGCACCTTTCGATTCTGTCCCTCTCCTGCTGCTCCTGTCACTTCTTGCTAAAGGCTCTGCCCAGCGGATCATTACTGTCTGCACCCAGCTGAACCCCCAAGGCCTCCAACACGCTGACAGGAAGGGTCTTGCCTCCTTCCAGGGTACTTTTAGTTTCCACAGTGTGACTCCTCATGTTTGTGCAGAACAGAGCCCCAAGCCTGGTGAGGCAGCACCTCTGACAGCTTCTGCAGTAGCAGCCATCACTGAATACGTTTCAAGTGATTAATTTTCTTAAAAATACGAATAAACCCACTGAGTGCACATGTGCTAGCAAGTTAAAAATAATAATAGGTGTCTGTGTGACCATGCTGCTTCTGTCTGGATCCTTCAGGGGAATTCAGTTGCTAAGAACAACTTCCACAGCTTGCCATATTTCTATGTGTTAAACAACAACCAAATAACTGTAGGCAAAAGTCCCAGCTGTCAAGCATGAGGAGTGAAGGGGCTGGCTGGGGGAGTACAAAGCATTTTTCTCCTGTGTTATATATGCATATTGGATAATCTAAAAGGAAAATGAAATGAGGCAAGGACAGAGTGGGAAGCATGTTAGTGTCTCTCCAAAATACCGTGCCCAAAAGTTTACAGGAAAAGTTCTGTTTGACCTGGTCCTTCTGTGCTTGATGTGGTGCTCCCAACAGAGCTTTACAGAGGAACCTTTCCAAGGAGAATGCACCACCAGCTCTTTCAGGCAGCAAGAAAGGCTGAGTTTTGTTTAGCTCCCTGGATAAAATTCTGGGCAGGTCTCAGGCATAGTGAGAAGAACTGGAGGCAAGAGTTAGAAGTAGCATCCCTGAGTGCTGATTCATTCCACAGAAACAGAATTTGGGCCTCACTTTTCAGTCTTGTCAGGCTAGACTCTTCCTATGAGATTATTTTTTTCAATACTCTCTTTGTTTTTTCACACACAGATAAAGACTGAAAAAGTTATTTAGGCTTTTAGCAAAACTAATTTGATTTCTCGTGATTTGCTTTATTTCCAAGGTCTCCCTATTCAGCCATAAAACTTATGCCTGTGTTGACACCTGACACAAAAACATCTGAGCTCAGAACTTTGGGGTTTAACATACATGTTGGAAACCATGGAAAAGACACCTCCCTCTCCCCACCGCTGGGATTCAACACATGATGCACGTGGCATCCCTGGTGGTCTTGCAAGAAAAGGATGCTGAGAACAAAACAGTCACAACAATCAGGAGAAGGCACCTTATCTTCATTTCCCCAAACGTAGACTTGTCCCACAGGAAGGAAACATTCCTTTGCCATTTTGAAAGTTTGTCTCTATGTCTACAGCACTAAACAGTAAATACAGAGCACACTGAATGATTTCTAAGGTTTCAAGTGAACAATTAGTCAAAATGTTAAAGCTGAAATGTGATGAGAGGCAGGTTAGCATAACTAGTAAGGCACAGAACCAAGATTTGCAATTATCCACCTAGTGTGGATAATTGACACAAAGAATTGTTTTCAGAGTATCCAAACTGTGTCTTGGCACCACATGATTTAGGCAGGTGTTTATTTGTGCTAGAGGTTTTACTGTCTACCAAGATACTGATTCTTAAACTGAAAATTCTCTTTATGAACCTTGACACAACATGCTTTTAAAGCTCCTGAAGCAGCACAGAACTCTGTCAAGTCTGTATTTCATTTTCAGTATTTCAGTTTTATTAATTCCCTATTTAGCCAGTTCTTTGATTGGTTAAACTTTGTATCTGTAAACCTCTTAGCTGTATATTTACCTGAAAAGGCTCAAAATGCTGCTTTAGTCTACTGAATAAACGTGTGCTTAGAAAATATACACATTGGGGAAAAATAAAAAAAAAAAAAGGGGATGAATATAATCAAAACATCATGGGGAAAACCTGTACAATTATGTGTGTATGCTGTTAATTAATGATGGTGTTTTATGCAAAGGATGTACTCATCTCATAATTGACTTTGTCTGAACATGCCTGGCTCTGCAATCTACAGCAATTAGACCCTCTGTTACTTTATTGTTGTTAATGGCCATTAATTGGTGATCATCATATGGCGCAGCTTCAGTGTCCTCCACATCCTACCAAAATGACTGTTACACAGGAAGCAAACTGCATCAGAGCTGAAATCAATGAGCACACAAAATCTCTCCCCAGGAGATTCCAGCAAATGCTCTGATTTTTGGAGGGGATTGTGTTTGATTTGACATTCAGTCTGATTTACTCCTCATGAATCCACCTCTTGGCATCTGAAGATATAAAGTAAAACACCGGCTACCTGCTTAGAAACTGCACATCATTGTTTCAGTATCCTGAAGGAGAGGAGAACACTGGACAGTGTGATAAGGTAAAGATTATTATGCATGTGCATGAGTTAAGGCATTTTAAGAACTCATCTCCCAGAAACTCTCAAATTTCTTCAGTTTTTTGGTGAGTTTGGGGTGTGTTTTTTTTAAATCCCTACATAAATTTTCAGCAATTGGGGTATTTTACATTAAATTTTAACAAAGTGAAGGCAATAGAAGAGACATTATAAGATCAGTAACTATTCAATTTTGTTATTTCTGAGTTAGAGTTCTAGACCTTATTACTTTTTCTAGTAAATTTTTTAACAAGGTACCCATAAAATGAAAAAAAAAAAAAAAGGAATAAAGAGGAGGGAAAGAAAGGCAAGGAGTTTAAGGAGTTTTTGACTGCTGATCATTTCAATTACTCTCTCTGTACAGCCATCCCTAAGTTCTCTTGACAGATTAAAGCCACATAATGTAAAACCTTATCTTATATTAATTTGCCTTTAGTACTTACTTTAAATTCCAATAAAGTTTGACTGCACATTCAAATTCTCCATTCAGACACATTCTGAACGTGCTTATTTGCACAACTGAAATCTGGGGTTTTGTCCACAACAGTGTAATGCCAGTGGATGAAAAACACCTTTCTAACGCAAACTGCCACGTTCAGGAGTAATTAAAAATCCTTCTTAGGGCACACTTGATAGTAATGATGATAGAATTTTATTTACATTTGATAAACTTGCTGTTAAACTAAAACAAAAATATCGAAGTGCGGTTGGTATAAGGACAGCTATTTGAACATAGATACTTCGAAAATCAAAGGAAAACAAAGATATTTTCATCAGGAATATTCCCTTTTCTGTCCTGCCTTACATTTTTTTGCACATTCAAGACTTGCAGAAATTTCAAATGGGAGTTCTGGGCGAGACAATTCTGTAAAACTCTCTCTTCACAGAGAACAGGGACACACAGAAAGGAACTGAAAAAGAGAATTCACCTTGGAAACTTTGTCTGGGTTGTACAGTTTGACACCGTGTTCAATGTATTTCAAAGGTATCCCATAATAGCTTGTCATTCTTTACAAAGGTCACTGTAAAATCATATCCTGTATTACTCCAGCTCTCTGAAGGTGTTCCTGGTCTGCCAGCTGTTCAAGTGAACTTTGCTAATGAAGGCAAAGTTTCCAGGGTTATCACTCTGCCCCTTACACTGTATTATCTAGAAAACCATAAACCTTATTAAGAAAAAAAAGATATGAAAAGCTTTATAAAACATTCTCTGAGCAGCCCCTGTTTCCAGCTTCCCCTCCTGAGCTGAAGGTGGTTTGAAGCCCTTGCCACCATGCCTGCTGATTACAATGGGACGTGGGAGATGGAAAGCAATGAAAACTTTGAAGGCTACATGGTTGCTTTAGGTGAGTGACAAAATATTAACTACACAGAGATAAGGGAATGTGTTTTCAATTACAAGTAAAATCCTTCTCAAAATTAATGAGATTATTTCTGTAATGGGTGTTGTGGCAGGAGGGTTTCTGCCAATCAAGTAAAAATCAACAAATTGTAATGGACTTATAGAAGTCCATTACTTTATATATATAAAGCAAGAGAAGATTTGTATTCAAACATATTATTCTTCATTTAGATAAATGAAAAAACAGATACAGATGGGGGGAAAAAAAATCCAAAACAACGGGCTTTCAGATATAGGAACACTTTTTTATTCCTGGTAAATACTTGCTGTAACAGAGAAGCGACAGCCTAGCTAGCTCTGCTAAAGAGGAATAGGATATTCTATATCACTAAAGCAACAATAATGCTAATACCTAATTAGTGCTTTGAACTAATAAAATTATATGTTACATAAACGAAAAATGTGATGCTTTAAGTGATTTTGTACTAGCTTTACTCTTAGCAAAGAAACTTAACCCTAATTGATTTATCTGTTCAGATTGAAAGAGAAGGAATACACATAAATATGTACAAATAAACTCTCATCATAATTCACCAACAATTAAAAATATTTATAATTTCCTCAAAACTTCAACTCTCTTAAGAGAGAAAGGCAGTCTTCTCTATTTGTAGTTTTTGGCTTTGCATTTATGGAAAAAGATTCATAACTTTAGGGCCACCTGTAGATAATATACACAGACACTAGTGAGGTTTTAAAAAATAAGAATGCTTAAGCCAATACCATGAATTTCAGGAGATGGATACCCACTAACTGAAGTGATTTGCATGCTGGGGTTTGGCAGCTAGTTAAGCATGAAGAATAATTGCTGGGTTTTGTGCAACTGAAATGTGATTTCAGCTTTAAACAATGGGCCTGCTGATCTGGCTGATGCTTAGGACAACTTCCAGTTGTCACAAATTGACTGTTCCAGGCCATCTTCATCTCACTCAGGCTCCTCTCCCTGCCTGCCTTGGCTTCTGGTCTTACCTACAGCTCCTGCCTCTGGCCCAGCTCTCTCTGCTTTGGCTCTGCCTCAGTCCTGGCTCAGTCCTTTGCTCCAAGGCCTGACCTCGGGTGTGGGGTGTCACAAAAAGCACCAAGCCATGATGGGCATGTTGCTCCAGTCCTGCCTTGCTCTGCAGCGATGAGTGTAATTGTATTTACTAACTTGGTTGGTAACTCTCAGTTATGTGGATGTAGCCTCTCACAAGTCCACCAGGTTTGTTTGTGTACACATACACTGTAAGTGTCATTAATTGAAAACTGCCAATAGATTAGCACAAACACCCACCACCAAAACCAACACAAAGATACATATGCTACAGGTGATTCTCAGAACGAAAAGAAATTACAGGGAAAGGGTGAAAAGATATTCTTCTGCTCTGTTTCCCACAATTTTGCACAGATTTGGTATTTTAAGTATGAAAGCACTCAGGTTCAAAGCACGCTGAAGTTTTGGGTTTTCTTTTAAAAATTCATCCATCCTTTTAATTAATGCACACATATTTCCATACTTTAATTAAAGAATACTTTTGTCCTGTAAGTCAGGAACTTTGGTTTTATCATAAACATGTTACGAAGTATTTTAATCTACTATAATTGAACAATATATCATTTTTATTGCTTGTATTGTTCAAAATGCAGTTATGAAAACCATGCTTTAATAAAACCTCCCCTAATTTTCTCCAGGAGCTACAAGACTAATATATTAGTCAGAAATAGCATTTCTTTAGAGGTCTCGACATTTTTTTCCTTCAGAGAGAACTAAATTTTATGTTGTCTGCCTATAAATCAGAGCCAGAGATACCTTTAATCCACCAACAGCAGATAAAATATACCCAAGAAGTCTTGAATATAAACACCCAACAAGAACATTATTCCCTGTGTTAAAAAGTCGCATTTTTTTCAAGCCAATCCTCTTACTCAACTTTATTAGTACTTCACGAGTAGTCTAATGAATCTACCAGAAGCAAAAAGGCTCCTGTAGGATGTGGCATTGCTGAGCTGACAGTAATGAACTCCCATGCAAAACCACTAAAGGGTGGCTGGCAAACCAAACCCATTATTCAAGCTCTTGCAGCAGCATTTGAGATGATTCCATTTGCATAGAGCACCGTCATAGGATTCCCTGCCAGCTGGGGAGAAATATTTATTGCAGCTGGTAATGCTGCTGGCACTGGGTGGATTGGCTGGGGCAAACTGTCATCACGGTAATCCACATCCTGCCTTTGGTGACTTCCAACGCTTCCCACCGCAGGCAGTTGTTTACACTGGAATGTTCGTCTTCATCGCCGACAAAATAGGGATGTTCAGGAGATCAGAACTGCATGACATGTTCCCAGAATATCAAACAGGAACTGTGAAATGCTCTACATGCATACTTTTTGGACTTCTGACTTTGAATTTGTCTCCTTTTAAACTGCAATTTATTTCTGTGTCCACAATAATAATGGGTGTCAGGCTTTTATTTAATTGTTTCTTTTTCTTTTATTAGTATATATTTCATTATTTCAGATTAATTAATTAACCTCTTTTATACTCCCACAGACTGTAGGTTCATTCCACATTATTTTTTTAGTGTATAAATATATGCTCTGGGTTAGGTTTGGGTTTTTTTTTTATTTTTGGTATCAAATACTGGAATTTTCATTGTGATACTCTCTTTTCTGGTTTTTGACAGGTATTGATTTTGCAACTCGTAAGATTGCAAAACACTTGAAACAAACAAAGGAGATTACTCAAAATGGAGATAATTTTAAAACAAAAACACTCAGCACTTTCAGAAACTATGATCTGGATTACACAGTGGGAGTGGAGTTTGAAGAACACACCAAAGGACTGGATAACAGAGTGGTAAAGGTAAAAAAATCTGGTACCCGAGTCAGCACTTTCAAAAATCAGCTGAATGCATTAAATAAAAGCCCAATATTTTACAAACATCAGAGGATTTTTATAAAGCAGAAATAATTTGCATCTTGAGACAGTTTCCTGCCACAAGGATTTATTAGAAATGTGAATCAGGATGGTTCCTCAGACTCATGAGGACGATCATTAATTGCATGTTTTTCTAGTAAGGAATTTTTCCAGCTTTTCCATGATATGTATTTAGTGAGTAGAAAAACTTATTTTTACCTATGTATCCTCTTTTATGAAACTTTACCTTCATCTCTGTGAATTTAGGAGTGTTTCTATGTCAACATAAATTTTCAGTTTGCAATGGTTGTGTTTGCAGTGTATTTTTAATGTGAGCCTGATCAGCCTCCGCTGGGCAGTTTAACAGTCAGACACTGTTAAAAATAAACCTGCACTTGGCTCTGAACCTTAAGGGAGCTTCAGGAAGGGGCAAGAAAGAACTGTGAGTCAGAGGTGCCAGTGATCCAGGTGGCAGGGCTGCTGGCAGGGGGCAAGGAGGCCCAGCCATGGATGCTCTAACACCTTTTGGATTATTGGAGTAACCTGAGCTCAGAATTCCCCCCGGAGTCTGTGGGGATCCTTTCAGACACACAGGTTTGGATCAAGGGTCATGTTGTGCTTTAGCCCCTTCCCTCCCTCCTGTGGCAGAGTCAGTGAGGCTGTTCCTGAGGGGCCTTCAGACCAGGCTCTAGCAGAGAGCAAAGGAACACATTTGAGAATTGATTCATTTACTGAATTCAGCTTCATGTTTCTTTATCAGCACCGCTGTGGTTTTGCTCTCTTCTCACCCCTGAAATAATTAAGCAAGATTTTCAAAGCTAGAAAGCCCAGCAGATCTTAAATTTCCATTGCCTGTCCCCTTCAGAGCCTTGCTAATGCTGCATCACCTGCCTCCTCCTGTCACCATTCACTGTATCCACCTGCATCCCTTTTGCCAATTCCCACAGTCCTGCTCTGCCACTCAGCTCTCAGTTGCCAAACTCTGGGAAGCTGAGATCAAAGGTCCATGTCAACAAGACCTGTTTTTCTTTTGGCAATTGCCACAGGAGATTGGCAGCATAAAGGACGTGTTTACATTTGAACTCACATCATCCTTCACTGGAGAGGCACAAATTTAACACAAGACACTGTTTATTCACCACGGATCACTTTTCATCCTCAAACTAACTTTGTGCAGTGTAATTCCTAGGACTTCTGCCGAATTATTTCTCATTGACAGCGCTGCAAGCCATCAAATAATAAAACCCAATTTTTTCCCACTATCCTGAATATCTCTGTATTGAAATTTTCTTCCTATCTCTTTCTCCAGTGAGCACTGGGTGGGCCATATTCCTGGGACAAAGTCTATGCTTTAAAAAATTGCTCCCACATCTCTTTAGGTCAGTTGAAGGCATTATGAAGGATCTAAGGACTCATTAGATGCATCACTCCTTAAATCCATCAACTAGCAATTCCTCTAGTGCTCTTCACCACTACCAAAGCCTTGCCTTTCTCTGCAAAATCTTTTCAAAATCTTTGGCCTAACATTTTTTTCTAAACAAATTATATTATTTCTTTCTAATGAGAAGAGAAGCATAAAGGAAGCATGCCATGCCATTATTCTCTGGACTGCTGTAAAAGAATGCTCTGGTCATTTTATTAACTAAACAATGCCACAAACATATTAAAGTTAGATGAAGGTAATAAAATTGGTAGGCAACATTTAAATGTAAAGAGGGCATGGGTAATTTAAAGAGCATGTAGCTTGAAAATTCCGTAAATAAAAAAGAAATTAACTGAAATGGAATGAGTTTTGTCTCATTAATAGAAAGCTCCCTCATAAGAGAAATAAATTATCCAGTGCTGAGCTAGAAAATGATTAAGCTCTCAATACACTTGGAGCTTTATAATAACTGAACTTACACGGACTGTAACTGGTCCCTAAAAAGGATTTGTCTGATCCATGGTTAAATATGCCCACAAAGTGCAATGGTTCAAACCTAGAACAGTTCAAACAAAGTTGCTGTGAATGTACCCCAGCACATCTGTAGAGAACTTGTCCTTACTGACAAAGTTATTCTGCTCCTGGACAAGAATCAGCACCCCCAATACCCTTTCTACCGGTGATAGACTCTGAATCACACCAATCATCAAATGGTTGAGGATGGAAGGGACCTCTTGAGATCACCTTGTCCAATCCCTCTGCTCAAGTAGGGTCAGCTACAGCACATTGTGCAGATTATGATCACACCTCTTTAAATGTCTTCATGAAAGTGCATGAAAATATATAAAAACTATATTGTATGAGATGATAGCAACATCCACTTCCTCTTGTTACTTGATGCAGACCTAGAAAAGGTGTTAGCCCTGCACTAGTTGGTATAAGCCCCAGGTCTTCACCCATCTTCTAATGGCTTTAAACAGCAAGAAAAAAAATATAATGTGCATATATTGCACAATTATCTGTTAACTCACCCAGATGCACTGGTTGGTGTGAACACTTGATATTTGTGGATGTGAAGAAACACACGGACATGAAAACAAAGCACTGCAAAAGCTTCCCTTCAAAATGCTGTTGGCATCCTGAATGCATTGAGGTTTTGGTAAAAGGCATTTGTGTTCTTTTAGGAGGAAGATGGGGAATGATAGAAAGCAGTGGTGTAATTGTGTATTTACATCCTTTGATTGAACTTATTTTCATGTATTCCTTAACTTCTCATTAACATACCTGCGTTAATTATCTGATTCATGCAGACACTGGTGACCTGGGATGGTGACAAACTGGTCTGTGTGCAGAAAGGCGAAAAGAACAACAGGGGCTGGAAGCACTGGATTGAAGGAGACATTCTGCACCTGGTAAGGGCTGTCATGCAGATACATGGCACATCTCTGAGGGTGCAACACACTCAGCTTTTCCATTTCAAAGGATCCTTTTTCGAGCTAGAAAGGTCTTTGTTTAGACAGTTCTGATCTCTGAACTCTAAGGAAATTACCCTTAGGTAATAGGAATGCTCAATTTCTTTCCACCTGCTCCCAATTAAGTCATAACCCTGCAGTGGGTTTTTGCTCCAGTCCACTGCCCTCCAGCCATTAACTCTCCCTGTTACAGAGCAGAAGAGGGGAGTCCAAGAGAGGCTTGAAGAACCTGTGCAGGAAATAAGCAGCCAGTGAAGTCCAGAAAGATTTCAAAATAATAGAATCATAGAATTATTAAGGTTGGAAAAGACTTCCAAAAGCATCAAATCCAAGCTTTGACTGAATACCACCGTGCCCACTAAACCACACCATGAAGTGCCACATCTACTCATGTTTTTGAACATTTCACACAATGATAATGATTCCAGAGTGTCCTGGGAGAGCAATCAGGAAATGGGCATGATAGTGTTGGATGGCACAATGGGTGGGTGGAGAAAGATTGTGGAGGAGATCTTATTGTTCCCTCCCATGATTTGCACCCAGACATCTGCTCCTTCACATGTCTCCTCTGTGCACAGCTGGTGTGGCAAACCACAGTGGCTCAGGTCTGTACCCCTCAAAGGTCAAAGCTATGACCTAAAACCCATGATCTGCCACCAAACTAAAAGTCAACTGCCCAGGGACTTCAAACCTGTTTTAACACATCCTCAAAAGCTGACCTAACAAAGGTTCTATGTGATGGAACCACGAGTGAGGCTCAGATTGGTGGAAACAGAGGGGCCAAGTAGATCCTTACAAGAGTCTTGAGAAACTGTATTGCAGTTTTAGCTCACTGCTGGCCAAAAAGCCAGCTCCAGCTCCCTCCAAATCCTGTTTGCACAGGAATGCTGGCTGGTCAGACTAACCAAACTGACTACACTGCAGTGAGCAGCTGTGCCAAACTTTAAGGAGTCAGCTGCAACACTGGGCAAAAATGGTGTATTGTTCTGGCCCCCCAGAAATGCCTGGGCATTCCTCTGAAGAAAATCATCTTGTTAAAGAATTCCTTCTTTTTTTTTTTTTTTTTTAAATTTCCTTGTTTTATTGCTTCTCATGAATTACAAGGTAACGTGAATTATAAACTAGTACAGTATGTTGTTTTAATAACAGAGCATGAAAAGCTTTGCATTAAAGCACAATTTTTATGCATTTTTCATGTCTATTCTTCTTTGAGTTCAATTCAAGTGTCAAAAACTAATTACTGCAACATGAGGTGCATGCCTGCTGTTTGGTTACATATAGTACACTATTCTTTCTGTTCTCTTTTTCATAAGCATAAGTTTTTTATGGGGCTCAGTTGTAGTAATTTCTGGTGGGATCTGCTGTGTATGCAAAATATAACTTCTACCACTATGTATTTACTCATTGTTTTAATACTGTAGGAATTGACATGTGAAGACCAGGTGTGCCATCAGACATTCAGGAAGAAGAAATAAAACTGAGCAGAAAGCTGCCCAGATCTTCCTCACACTGTTCTGCTGTTCTGTTTTGTCTGAGAGAAGAACGAAGCCAGATTTTCACTTCTTTGACACTGCTGTGTGAATACATTTTGTTCTTGTTTATGGAAACAAACACATTTTATAGAAATAACATCAAACAGTTACAAACCTCATAAATTCCTTTGCCTTTCAGTCTGGAGGTAAATAAAAGTAATTGTCTTTCAAATACTGCTTCCCTACGTCTTTATAATCATTTCCAGAGGAACGTCCTTTAGCAACAAGGCTGAAAATTAACAGTCACGATTATCTCAACCACAGTCTATCTCTCCATAGTGCTGGATTATCATAATATATCTGGATGACTGAGTAAAATTGGACATTCACTGGACTGTTTCTATTTAGTTTAGTCCTGGATCACTAAGTCCACAGTTTCAGGTACCAGAATGGCTCACTGAGCACGATCCATGGCCTTTCACAAGATGTTCCCTTGAACGTGGCCCACGTCTATAGTAGTTATCACCTGATAAATGTCTCATGGCTGTTGGGAAATGCTGCAGCTCCTTAATATGGTGATCAGTGGCAAAGCTGTAACCTCCAGTTAGAACTGGCATCCTATTAAAAATCCCAGTGGAGAAATCTGCTGTTTGAAGCAAACTCTACATTTCACAATTGCTCCATGGTGTGACAACTGAGGCACACACTCAGGATGTAAGAGGAAAACTTCAGAGCATGCCCAGTCTGCATGAACCCTGTGCACAAAGAGCACGCAGCTTGCTGCAATCTTCACCTTGTACCTACCTTTCACAGACTTCAAAAAGAAAAGTCATTTCCATGCAACTCTACTCAGTTTTATTCTGGGTTTTTCAAAAGAATTCGTGTTCTTTGCTAAAGGCAAGTTCAAGTTAACCATGGCTGATGAGTACTCCTTCAGTACATGACCTGAAATTATTCGGCAAAATGTGTGTGCACTTTCCACGGAACTGAAGAAGAGCTGGTATGCCCAAAAGCTCATCTGCTTGTTCCCAACTATATGAACTATTTCACAATATATACCGTCTTTCCTACAACCTTGCCTTTCAGATATAAAAACTTTCACATCAACTTTATCCCTCCCTTTATCAACTTTATCACAAGTTCCCTCTTGTCCATTGCCCTCATCTGCTGTCTAGTATGGGAGGAGTGGAAGTTCACTGAGCAGGTCAGTGGTAGGGAAGAACAGAAAATATGTGGAAAAAAAATTTCCATAAATGGAGGAACATGTGCTTTCTCCTCATCCCTACCTGTTCCTTAGCCCACTCACTGCCAATAGCTCAGCATAGGAAAGGAGTGAGACAGTCCCAGATGAGAACTGGGTTACATCTGCAAAAATCTGATTATTATGTCACCAGTACTTACATGGCCATGGCCATTATCCTGGTGCCAGCTGGGATTGAGGTTATTTTCCTCTCAGTAGCTAGTTTTATGGAGTTTCTGTGGCCAGGTTTTTGTAGCAGGGGGACTACGGGGGTGGCTTCTGTGAGAAGCTGCCAGAAGCTTCTCCCATGTCCAGCAGAGCCAATGCCAGACAGCTCCAGGATGGAGATGCCACTGTCTCCCGTGAGAGGGACCTCACGGGGAACAGGGCAAGGACTCCTCTCCCTGAGCAGCAGCAGAAATAACCTGTGATGAACTGACCATAACCCCCATTCCCATCTCCCTGCATCACTGCGGGGAGGAGATGATAGAACTTGGAAGGAGGGAGGGGTGGGGGGAAGGTATTTTTAAGATTAATTTTACTTCTCATTCTTGTGCTCTGATTCTGTCAGTAGTAAATTTAATTAATATCCCCACTCTGAGTCTGTTTTGCCTTTGATGGTGATTGGTGACTGATCTCTCCCTGTCCTTATCCTACCCAAACTGGCCAAAGGGATGTTCCACAGCACAGAACATCAAGCGTGGCTTATAAAGCTGAAGGAAGAAGAGGGGAAATGGTTGTTTGCTACCCATGGGAATGGATTCCTTGTTCTGCTTCCCTTCTTCATGCAGCTTTTTCTTTGCCTATCAAACTGTCTTGAGCTCAGCCTGAGTTTTCTCAGCGAATGGCTGCGTGGTGCTCAGCTGCTGCCTGGGGTTAAATCACGACAGGCACAGAGGTGCATATGTAAGGATGTATTTATGGACTGGACTTTGCTTCTCCTGACTTTTGAGTAGAAATGTACTTAATTCCTATTTTGAAGTCTCTGATAGTTGCAAGGATAAGAATACCACAGTTCATTAAGTTTTCAAAATGTTATCAGAAGAAAGCAATGACTAGAAAACAAAGTGTATATGTTTTAATCAGTGACATTTCTCATAGTTCTTGCCAGCAGTGAGCACAATGAAGGGTTCTGTAACTGCACACCAAATCATAAAACAAAAGAAAACCTTTCATATATCAAAAAGAACTATCATCAATTCACAAATGATGAGTTTGAAGATGAAGAGCAAACATTTTTCGATTTGTTTCTTATTATGCTTAGTAGTTCTAGCTAATGGTTATGCTTCAGAAGTAAATGAAGTAGGAAACCGAACACAAGTAGCCTTTGATTAGAAGAAAACTGGATTTGACCCTATTTTTTCATCTACTTTGGAAATGAAAATTTCAGACTCTTTAACAGGAAGTGAGAAAACTTGCAAGGTTTTTTTATTCTCCAAAACATTTTGTTTCTGCACATACTGCTGTGGAAGAACCTGCAGTATCCTTTACAACTGTGTGCACAGAACACAGGAGATATTCATTATGCTGCATTATAATTTCTTCCAAAGGTATCCTTGCTTGTATCATATTTGGGATATTAGCTTGGTCTCCAAGCTGTACAAAGCCCCTTATCTCCTCATCTGCAGATTAAATACTTGCACTGGAGGAACAGACCTTGCTGGTAAATCAGAGCATGTTCATTCACATTTTTCAGCCCTCTGGCACAGAGTGCTGTCTCAACTGTTTTGAAGGATTACCATTTGCATGGATTCTTCTCCTCACAGAGAATATTACTCAAATAGAGCTCCAGGAAGGGAATTTACCAGCAACCTTCTGACCCAGAAAGCAGAAAAGCCCATACTATGCAAAAGCCCTTCCTTGTGACACAGTGCCAGCAAAAGAATCAGGACATTACCTGTCAGTGGCCTTTTCAAAGGACAATGACAAGCTGAGTGTAAAAAAAAAGTTTATGGTAGAATTTCTAAAAATCCTCTCCACTGAGCCAGTTTTTCTCTCCAGAAGTTACCTGCATTTTCTTGCCAGCTGCTGAAAGAAGAGACAACGCTGCAGGCCAAGGCTGTAGGACAATGCTGTAAATGCTCCTACCAGTAACACTCTGGGGCAAGTCCCTGTGCTGCTGCCTTTCTGGGGAGCTCTGAGGGGTCACCAGGATATGCACAGAATGCCCCTCAAATTTCCCATGAATATCCTGCACTGCCAGCTGGCAAAAAGTCTAAGGCTTCTAAATCAGCATTTACTTCTAGATGTGATGAAGACAAAACTCAGCCAAAAAAAGAAAAAGTTGCTTAGTAACATCTATTTGTATTCTTGCAAGCAAGGGTAAATGTTTTACTTTAGTGCAGAGAAATAAACAAAAGGTTTTTTTCCCACTAGAAGACACTGTTTTCAGGTTTAATTTGTGATTGATTTGAAGGGCAGAGGCTGCAGAGATTTTAATTTCAGCTCGCTGATTACACTTGTTATGCAGATGGTGAAGATTAGGAGAAATCATTTCGTGAAAATGAGATTTAAAACAAAATTAACCAGACAAGCTTTTCAATAACTGCAAAATTTTTGTCAGTTACTCTCTAAATATCACATTTGCTTTAGTCATGTCTCACACTGCAGTGTCTCAGTCACCATTACATAGAAATGGGAATGCAAGAGACAACAGTACATATTCCAGAGCTCTGAGAGGTGGAGGAATCCATGGAAAGACTGGGAGCTTTGTCTTATGTGACAGCAAACAGAGACTTCAGCTGGCCTAAGAATACAAAATGAAAGGCTGCTGCTCGAGGAAAGGAGGCACACTGTCATCCACACCCAAACACAGGGAAACAAAGACAGGACAAGGAGTAACGAGCTGGAAACTGCAGCCTGGGAACTTCAGGAAAACATCAGGCATTAGCTCTACACTTGAAAGACAGGGAAAGGCTGGAGGAGACTGGCAGATGAGCTTGTGGAATCTCTACGGTCCCACTTTCTTCCATCAGCAAATCTTTTATTTTACCTGCAGTAATAGCTGACAAAAGGATTGTCAGGACGATCTCAAAGATATTATATTCTTTCCATTTTTATGGGGAAAAGTGGCCAAACAGAGTACCTGTAGTAAAAGAAAAGCTACAGCATAAACTTACGTTTACCAAGACCCAGAAAAAACCTTTAAGGAGCAGGGGAAATTCTCTTTACCTGTTTTCATGATACTGTACTTTGGAGTTCTGCTGGCTTTGGTTTAGGTAACAGTCATTCAAAGAAAGGCTTTCTGAAAATCTCCTGAACCCTTTACAAAGGCTTTTGCTGTAAACTTAGTTATGACTTCAGAATTAAACCATGGCATGATGTTAAATAGGATGTCTTGCTGGGAAAGCTGCAAAGGGCCTTCCTTCCAACTGCTTTTTAAATACGTTGTGCCCTTTGCTACCTTTGGTCAGTGCACCCAAAGTCAATTGTTTTCCTATAATTTCTTAATTGTTTTTTTTCTGTCCCCTCTATTTCATTTACTTTGCATAGACATATGCACCTTTGCATTTAGGGTGAAGGGGTTCAGCACCTCATTTGTTAAGAAAATGAGGCAGAGTGTCCACAATATTTGTTTGCCCACACCTCCACAGCTTGCCCAGTGTAGACTGGCCAACCAAACCTGGCTGTAAAAGTCTGTAAGATGTAGTATTTCTACAATATTATGTGAAATGTAATGGCCTGACAGAATGCCTTCAGTAAAAACAGGCTGCAGAGTGAACTCATGGTTAGCAAGTCCCAGCAAAATCATTTAGGATAAATGCCCGTAACCATGGAAAACCGTCGGCTGGAGTTCGGATTTTGATGCCAAAGAATTCAACCATGAGATAAAACCCACCCAAACCCAAGCTTCAGGAGTTCTGCTGCTCACAGCAGTGCTTATTTTATTGGCTACTTTACAATATTTAATATTTTTGCTACTTACTTGATCATCTGGTTTGCCTTTTTCTGGCTGTCTATCTCTAGGATCTAATCAC